TGATGAAGAGTTGGACACAACTGAAGAAAGACTGAACAACAATAATTATAACCTGTTACTTGGGACCCTCTGTACTGTTGCAAATTCAACATATTTAGGTTGATCTGCCTCCAGGGCAGTTATCAGTCCCTATCAGTAAATGAAAAATAGTATTTGTGAAACTCACATGCATGATATCATGGAGTCTTACAAGTACATTCAAGGATGAATCCTGAATCAATATGTTCACACATTATCCCTTAAAATGAAGATGTTAGGTCCTCTTGCAATACAAGATGGCACAGTGGATGGTCAAAGTAAGAGTCTCAGGTCTGAGATTTATTTTGCCTCTTTCACTTTGGGCAAGTAATTTAATTTTACCCCTCTGAGGTTCTTTCTTCATCTGCAAAATGGAAGAAATATCTATGCACATACACACATATACACACACATACATATACATATAGACATATGTATGTACATTTATATCTCTATCCTTATATATGAAAAGTATTTGATAAACTGTAAAATGCTTTCTAAACATGAATTTTTATTACTATAATAAAAACAAACGTTCATCCTTCCCAATTTAATTCTTCACACAGTAAGGGTACGAGTGGAGTAGTAGCTCATGTATTTCTGTATACCCTTAAAGTAGATGTCTGCAAAAATGGAGACACAAATGGAAATTTTTCTCTCTCATTCTCCCATCAATAGAATTGCTCAATTAGCAGGACACTGCTTATCCTTTAAGATTCACCAATACATATTTATAGCGAAGACTTAATTCCTTATGCGAAATCTAAGAAGCTAGGAGAATGAAAACTTAGAAGCAGTTGCTTCACTCTGCATATCCTGATAATCTCTATTTTTTGCATAATGATGGTGTTGTCCATGTATGCAGGGGAAAAGGTGAATGTCTTCTACTCCAGGCAATATCCTTTGAGGATGAAAACAGAAGGACTTTAACAACCACAGACTCGGAATTTTTTTTTTTTTTACATATTTTTTGCACCTCACTCCAAAATGATGCCTTCAACTTGCCTTGCAAAGGCAAGGTTTACATTTAATGATTCTCCCTGCCCCCAAATCAAATATCTGGGTAGGAGAACCAACAGGATGACTCCTCTGTGATAATGAGGAATAGTGTGTTATCAAGAAACACAAGAGAAATAAGAGGAGGGAAGGGCATGGGAAGAAGTATTTATTAAGCATTTGCCATGTGTCATGCACCTATGCTAAGTGCTTTACAAATATCATCTCAATAAAGTCACGGCTTACAATATATTGTTAGGTTTTTTGTTGGTTTTTTTTGGTCAACAAATAGATTCATCAAGAAAATTAGAAAAGCTTTGTATTAAAAAGTAATAAGATGCTTGATGAAGATCTAATAGCTATTTTAATACTTACAGTTAAGATGTGTGAGATATCCCAAGGCTTAATGATTTATATTTTTAAAACAGCCCCAAAAAGGGGTCATGGATAACTTATAGAAGCTGTAACACAGAGTACACTTGTTCTATGCACTTGCCACTGGGGAGAATATTGTTTCCGTTTACATGTGTTAGATTCCAGATAATGTTAAAATTCTCCAAGAGGGGTTGGGTTCCTTTAAAAAAAAAATTTTAGTTAGAAAGACCATGACTGAAGAATTAAAATTAGCTGGGATACAACAATGTAAGAACCAAGTACCCAAACAAGCAGGGCAGTAGTTATTAACCATGGTAAGAAATAAAAGTTTAATCTTGACTGGAAGAAAATTTGTTGTCCTGGGTAGACATAAAGTGGAAAAAGGAGTTAGGAACATGCCAAAGAATGTGTGTTCCTATTTGGTTTTATGATTTATTACTTGTGATACTTTGGGCAAGTTGCTTTACTCTGAGCCCTCCCTTTCCTCATCTGTTGTATAAGAGGACTGAACTAGATGGTCTTCAAATAGTCCCCTAGTGCCTTGTGAATGTGCGTAGTCCAAGCTACCAAAAAGCAAATTTCATGATTTCAGTTTTAGAGGTTTGTGTTCCTACATCTATAGCAAGAATGGCATGGTTAAAGAGGTCCCTGTCAAGTTAAGCACTTTAAAAGGGAATAAAACATTTATTAAACACCTTCTGTATACAAGGGACTTTGCCAATGCTCTGTATAGAGAATAGGAGGGTTAAATTTATTGATTTCTGGCCAGGAACTTGCTTTGAGTCATAACGGTTGCAAAGGGATATGGGAAAGGACACAAAATTATTGAACCTTAGGCTGTCAAAGGATGGAAGGTTTCAAACTGTTCGAGGTTTGTGGAGTTCTTCAGAAGAAATCAGGAGAGTCCTTCTAATTCTATGAAGCTCAGCCAGAGCCAATGGAATACTTTATTTAATTAGAGCATTTTTTTCTATAATTTCTTGCTGTAAGTTTATCGCATATAAATTCATGCTGCTTCTGTAATTCTTCACCACATGCTACATCTAACATAAAAATTTTACCCAATGTTCTGGGGATCTTCTTCTCATTCTTTTGATGCATTGTAGTGTTGGAGAACACGGGCTGTCCATTAGTTACACATTGTTCTCGCTACATTCCTGTCCTATACCCCATTCCACCTTCGCTCCACCCCTGGCTTAACTCTCCTATTCACACAATTCTCTGAGAAACATCCTTGGAAGCAAAGTGAAATCAGAGGACCTGAGTTGAATTGTTACTATCTTCCATCCCACCTCTGTGATGTTGGGGAAATCATTTCACATCTTTCGGCGTTTCGATTTAATCATTTTTAAGTGGGTTAGATTAGATGACCCCAGGTTCGTTTGAACTCTAAATTTATGATCTTTATACTTTAAAAAGCATTTTGATGGTATTGTTTATATTGGTGCTGTAATAAGGAAAACTATGCTTGATTATTTTACAAGTAGGTCGAATCTTCTCTTGCTCGTGTCTATGGAAAGAGTAACTAAATATCATAGTGGCTTAAAGGAATCATATGATGGTAACAAGCATATATTTAAATATATTTTATTGGAGTCTTTTTGTTTTACATTGACTAAATTTTCTCTTTTATTCTACCCCTTCCCTTCCCAGAGAACAATCCCTTATAAGAAAGAACACTTTTTAAGGAAGAAAAAAAAAGAGGAAGAAGTAAATAATAATTAAAGTCAGTCAATATAGTACAAAAATCTGACATTTTATGCAGGGTTTTATGCAGGGTTATGAAAGCCCTCCCTAGCTCTGTAAAAGAGTGGAGTCAAATCTCGTATTTCTTGGTTGGGGAAAAGATTGTTCTTTGAGATCTTTCAACATTCCTGTTTTGATTATTTTGTGGTTATTTTTCTTTCCACTTATATCAATCTTGTCATTGTGTATATTATTTAATTGATTCTCCTTACTTCACTTGGTATCAATTCATGTAAGTTTTTCTATGCTTCTCTGTACTAATCGTGTCAATTATTTCTTACAGCGTAGTTAATATCACATCTTCATGAACCGCAAGTCGGTTAGCCATTCCCCAATGGATAGGCATCTTTCTCTTCCCATTTGTGCCTACCACAAAAATCACTGCTATAAATATTTTAATTATAGAAAGTCTTTTGTCTTTGGCCTCCTTGGGGTACCATCTGAGTGATAGCACCTCTGGGTTAAAAGGTATGGCCATATTAACCACATTATTTGCATAATTCTAAAGTGATTTCCAGAATGGTTGTACTAATCTGCAACTCCACAAACAATGCATAAGTGTGCCTCTCCCCTCTAACATTGACTTTTCCCTTCTATCGTCATCACTGTTAATCTGTTGAGGTAAAACCCAAGATTTGTTTTGATTCGCATTCATCTTCTTATTATGGATTGGAATATTCTCCCATGTAGGACAACTATACTTTAAAACATTCATATTAGACTGTGTGGGACAGTCCTGGCAGGATTAGACCACGTCGATGACTACAATTGCCAGAATCACAATATTCTTTCAGAAGAAGAGTCAGAAGTGCTTTGGGGTTGGGGTACATCTGTTCTCTGACTTGTAGGCATAAGTAGAAGGTCAACTACCTATGTATCATGACTGTAGAGAACAAGGAAGCACCACCTCCTCAGAGATACTGGATCTCCTGGTACAGCAGTAAGGATTTCAACTTGTCTATAATTTAGCAAATCAGTCTTAGGGAATTACTCAAGTTAAGTCAAGTCAATAAGCATTTCTTTTCAACTCTGAGTTACAGAAAGATTAAGTGACTTGCCTAGGGCTTGACAGCAAATCATTCTAAGAAACTGGATTTAGATCCAGATCATCCTGTTTCAGGCCAGCCGTCTAGACGTTATGAGAAACTGCTTTTTAAAGTCACCTAAATGAATAAATAATTGGTTGTATATTCCTTCCTTATAGTCTGGAGAATGAAGAGAGCTCCAGCTCCTAAAGAAGATGAGAGAAACCATAGAAGGGGAAGAGATACAAAAAAGGGAAGTTTCAAAATATCTTTTGTCAGCGTTAGAAAACTACCATTCAAATTGAAGGAAAGGAAAAAAAGAGGAAAATACGAATCACCATCGTGATTCATTAATTCTTATTTTGAATGCATGCAAAGATATGACTACACATGAATATCTAAAGGAATGAATGAATCATTCATAAGTTCAACAATTATGCATCTTAATATATTCCTCCAAAGTTTAAGTTGGACACTAGGGATACAAAGAAGAATTAGACAGAGTCCCTGAACTAAAGCAACTTAAAACCTTATAGGTACATCATCGATTGAGTAAATTACTTGTTACAGGAATTAGAAACAGAAAATAACTATTGGAAATTGTGTTTCTGTATCATTTCAAACAGTCTTTCTTCTGGTGTTTTGGGTTTCATGGTTTTACAAAGATTCAAAATGACTGAATTTCCAACCCTTTCTGACATAGTTACACATTAATTTTTCCTATTTTAGTTGGTTCCTTATATAGGCTGGTAAAGGAATACAAGACATCAGCATAAGACAATATTTATACTTATTAAAAAACATCTTTTCAACATTTACCACCATTCAAATTGACAAAACTCATTGACCAGAAACCAGAAGCTCTGTTGGTAGGCAGAATCCCCAAGTGCCGTCCAGTTGCTGAAATCAACAGACACGTCCATGAGTCAAGATTGAGACTGCTTGCTAAAATTGCCACCCCACCTCTCCTCTCTGCTCCATCTTGCTCCTGTCTCAAATACTTGTTTTTGAAATACTTCAAATATATTCCTAATCAGTGAGGACTCTAAAGATCAGAAAGACATAGGAGGACAATAGAGGCACAATGTAACACAATTCAAAGAATATCAGGTATTATGAACATAGACCTAGAGCTAGTAGAAACCTCTGAGATATATTACATTATATATGTATATGTATATATAATTTATTATTACATTATTTAGATAGATTATTTTACTTCACTTGAAGAAACCGTGGCCCAAAGAAATTAAGTCGCCTTCCCAATACGACATAACTAATAATTAGCAAAAGAATTTAAACCCATAAACTTTGAACTCTTGTCCAGTGTTCTTGCTAATACACCATATTCTCCTTTACGAGGAGATAGATCATATGATTTCACTTATCAGTCATTTTTTTTGTTCAATTACTTCAGTTGTGTCTGACTTCTGAGGACCCCATTTAGGTTCTCTTGGCAAAGATACAGCCATTTCCTTCTCCAGCTCATTTTACAGATAGGGAAACTGAGGCAAACAGGGTTAACTGAATTGCCCAGGGTCATACAGCTAGTAAATATCTGAGGCTGGATCTAAACTCACAAAGATGAGCGTCCCTGACTCCAGGGCTGGCACGTCATCCATTGTGCCACCTCACTGCATTTATTACCCATATGATATTTAATAAATCACTAAACCTCAAGAAGCCCTTTTCCTTCATCTTGAAAATGCATATAACACTCACTTTGTTCACCTCACAAGGTTATTATAAAAAATAAAATGACATAAGGTATATGAGCTGCTTTGCATCCATAACTTTCTATAAAAAATCAACATAACTGTCGGTTACAAGTTGGAAATATGTAAAGCAAAAAATAAAAACTTTTCCCCCCAAAGTTTCATTTTGATAAGAAAAGTCAGTGGAATAGGTCTTCAATAGATATTTGTTATCAGCTACTATTTTCTAGCTTACTGGCAGCTTCTAGTTATACTGGGTCACTGAGAGGACATCTAGTCAATATGGCTCAGAAGTGAGAATTTTATCAGGTTTCCATAACTCTGAGAATAGTTCTCTATTTTTTACATCTGACTTCCTATCACGTATGTGTTATTTTCAATGAAATATTTTTAGCACCATCTACCTTGTTTGGGCTTATATCATGCTACATCATGTTTCAGGTAAGGATTGTGAGAGATAACTTCAGATGTTCCTTCCAACCCTCTGGCTTTATGACTGGATGCGTCTATCAAAATCTGTGACAGGAGTTCAGAAAAAGTGGGCATTGAGGAGGGTGGAAGTAGTCCCAGAAATCTGGGTGAATGAGGAAGAACTGGAGTTGAAACTTAAAGAGTTGGGGTGGAGGTGAAAGTGGTGGGAATTATAGAAAAAGGGAAAGAAATAAAAGCAGAAAGTGAAAAATATCTAAGTATGCGTAAATAAGAAGAGAAGCTTAAAGCAAAGTAAAATATTCTATGGACATTTTAGCAAAAACAGCAAAAAGAGGAAAGTGAGGCTAGATAATGAAGGATTTTGAAAGCCAAAGAGAAAGGATGCATTGTGATGCATGCAGTGGAATGAACACCGAAATGAGAGTGTTGCCTTTAGAATCATGGGATCTGAGTTCAAATCCCTGCTCTGCAGTTTATTGTGACCTTCAGCCAATTATAGGGCTTCAGTTTCTCCATCTGTAAAATCAAAGAGTCAGACCAAATGACTTTTAAGGCCCTCTCCAGTTCTAAATCTATCATCCAGCAGGAATTCAATCATAGAATCATTCATTCATTAAGCCTTGACTCTTTGCTGAACTCTGATATAGGAAACATGGGAGATATATAATTTAGAGACGGCCCTGTTTTTAGCATCATGGAGCTTCCAGTTCAGCAATATGGCAGAAATTTTCATGCAGACAGAACTGTTCCAACAATTCAGTGTGACAATCCGAATGCAAATATATTCACTAAGTGGGGCAACATGGTGATATAGAATCAAAAAGTTTAGAATAAGAAGATTTCTGTGGGAGTATTTTTTCTGGTATTTATTAACTGAGTAACCTCAGGCAACACAACTTGATCAGGTAATTTCGGGTAACCACACTTCTTTCACATCTCTAAGCCTCAGTTATCTCATCTGTGAAACTGGAATAATCAGACTTGTATGCATACTTATCTCACAAGGGTGTTATGAGAAAAGTATCATATAAAACTGCAAGGAACTCCATAAATGAGAACTCCCATCATTATTCTTTCTACCTTGTTGATTGATTTTCCTGAATTATAGAAAGGTAGGAAATGTTCAAGTACTGCTGCTGCTGTTGATAATAACCATTCCAATGGTATCATTCTTTTTGAGCCCCTCTGTGCAATTCGAGGAAAGTGACTGAGAAGGGGAGTTAGACTTTAATACACTCCGATTCTTATTAGACTCTGTTTCCTTGACAATTCTTTTTCCTAAACTAGAAAAGATGAAATTCAGCAGCAGACACAAAATATACCTGCTTTGATAGTGTTCCAATCCATTAAAACCATCATGACTTTCTGAAATACAAAGAAAAACCTCCTTGTCCTTGTAAAACAGAGCTTACTTAACCTTCTGCTGCCATATTGGATGGGAGTAGTTCGGGAGTTTATGACTCTGAATGGGATACATTTAGGAAGGAAAGGACTCTCGAATGACTTTCTTATTCTGAATGGGAACTCATGGACCTGATTTGGCACAGATTCAAAGGTCTCTGCAAGGATGCTGAGCAGAAGCTGGATTTGTTACCATAGACTATTAAAAAGTACTGACTCCCACATTTTAAAAGACAAGTCATATATCTTCAGAATAAATTAAAACTATATTTGTTAGTTCAAAATGTGATTTATTAGGTGGGAATGGGTAGTTTTAAGTTTGTCACATTTTACAATAATAGAGCAACAGCATAGTAAAATGGATAGGGAGTTGGATTGCAATGGGGAAGACTTGAACTTGAATTCAAACTTTGATGCTCACTCCTTGTGTGACCTTGAACAAGTCATTTCACTGTCAGATTCCTATCTCCACATCCGCAAAATGAGAGGGCCAGACTACACAATATCTAGAATACTTACTAGCTCTAAATCTGTGGGCCCATGATTCTCTAAAAGGAGGCTTCCCTACTCACACAGAATGGAAAGATGATCTGAAGTGTTAGAAAAGGTGGATTCATAGTCATAAACCCTGGACTTTAGTCCTGTCTCTCCATATTATCTGTTTGCTATTGGGCAAATTGTTTAATCTCTCTGAGACAGACAGCTGATAGGGTTCAACAATTTCAATCGAATAAATCATTCACTGAATATATCCTATGCATCCCATTAGGCTGCAATAGATGCTGGGGTTCTAAAGCCAAAACAGATGTTGGGTTCAAGGTGCTTACTTCTGTCTGGTGGGATGGTATAAAGAAAATTGTTAGTCAAAGCACTTTTGAAATAAAAATTTCTTATTAAAAATGGTGAGCATTATTTAGTGATATGAAAAGCAGCAGTGGTAGTATAGTACAGAGGCTGCCTTGAAGCCAAGAAGACCTGAGTTCAAATCCTGCTTCTGATAAATACTTTCAATATGTTATTCAGTTGTTTTTCAGTCATGTCAGACTCTTCCCAATCCTATCTGGGGTGTTCTTGTCAAAGATACTGGGGCATGGTTTGCCACTGGGCTCCAGGCAACTGTTTAAGTGGCAGAGAAAGTGTCAAGCTTCTTTGATAGGGAATTTCCACATCTGGGAGTTTCTTCTAACAGTGAATCATTCCAATTCCATAAGAGATGATACATTTCTCATCAATTTTTCTCTACGCTTGTTCTGCACATGTCTCCAGCAGGATTTATCACACAAGTCCTCATGTTCTGATGATTTGTTACTCTGACTTATCCTCCTAACTAGACTACAAGTTCCTAGACAGCAGGAACCATATTTGCTCTTCACTTTCTCCATGCATGTAATTTGTGTTTAACAAGTATTTATGAAAAGGAATAGAACGGGAAGAATGAAGGCAGAAAGGAAAGGTGAGAGGAAGGGTAGAAGGGAGAAAGAAAGAGAGAGAAGAAGGGAGAAAGGCAAAAAAGGAAGGCAAAGGAAGGAATATTAGCTGGTTGTTCATGTGAAGGATGGAAGGTGATCACAATGCTTATCTGAACAAATCTTCTTTATTAATTATTCTTTTTCCTTTTTGTCTATTAAAAAGTGCAAACTTTTAAAGGAGAAATATTCTATCAGGGACACAGCATTGTTGGATAATCTCAGCCACTTGACTGGATAATTAACCATATGCTTCAGCTAAATAAATATATCTTTATTGAACTCAACATTTAAAAGAGCAAAATTGAAGAAAATATGACAAGAAGAATATTTTTTTTTAAAATTACAACATATTTAGGCTATGTCAGTAACCACTTGGTCCAATCCACCACTTCTTCAGCATCTAAATGAAAAATCAACAGTGAACGTTTACTAAGCATTTACTATGTGCCACACAATGGGGTAGGGAGGTTCCAACCTAATTCAGCAAAATTATGAAACATCTAGTATAATCAAGGACCTAAAGCTGATGACAGGTTAGATATGAAGATTAAGAGAGAAGTAAAAATGTATCCTCAGATTTTCATCCCATGTAAAAGATATAACTGATAATAAAATGGACAAACATGTGTAAGTCAAGAGGAAGAGTTAATCTACCAAGTAATTTTGGAGTATGGGTAGAGTATCAAAAGGGAGACAGCTGGTTATGCACATTTTTCCAGAATTCAGCACTAATGTCTTACCTAGAGAGACAGATTTGGTAACACCACCATAGTAGTGATATTTGAGGTCACTGAAAGAATGAGTTATCCAAGGGAGAAAGTACAGAAAGAAGTCAGTCACAGAGAAATTCCTTGAAGAATGCTTAAGCATCAGTTACATGAAATATATTCTCTCAAACATAAAATTTACTTTCTCCTTGAGAGGTCTGGGTTTAAATCAGAACTCTTCTACTTACCACCAGTGAAACTGGGAAGTCTATCCCTTTGCTCTGTGTTCCAGTTTCCTCAATTATAAAGTATGAGTGCTAAGTTGGATAACATTTATGGTAATTTCCAGCTCTAAATACTGTGATCCTATAACAATGATTCTCAATATTTACCTCAAAAAGTGGAAATGTAAATCCCAAGTTATGAGTGTGGGGAGGAAGAATCTTTAATGCATACTAAATATATTAATTAATTAAACATATTAAATCCCTGCTATAATTTTATTTTGCCCTTCAGATTTTGTTTTGGTGGAAAAAATCAAATATTTATGTTATGAAACTGAGAGGCATTTGAGAAAATTCAACCTTTAGGAAACATTAGGAATAATGAACAATCTATGTACCTAATCAGCCTCATAGCCAAGTTGAAAAACAAAACAAAAAGATACAATTGCCTACAATTTTCTTTTAAATCATTCTTTCCATTTGGCACCAATGAACATAAATAAGTTCAATACTGTGGGTTCCAAGGTCAAGTTTTTCACTTTTTTGTTTGGGGTTTTATTTTGAAGCCAATTTATTTTGCAGCAATATAGCCTAGAAGGACCGACAAAGCACAAAAATAAGAATAAAAGGCAATAGCTGATCAAGAATTTAGTAACCATCTGACAGTTTCCCTAAAATGACTTGTTCAAAATGACACATGGTATGAGTCATCTGGGGATCTACCTGTCCCTAACTCTATATCTTAGACTAAAAGAAAGAAAATCTGTGGAAAAGTCACCAATTCAGAGAATCTCATAACTAGAAAGGAAAAGAGAGACCATAAAGTCCAACCCAATGAAAAAGGATTCCTGCATTAGTGTTCTTATTTGCCATATCACTACAATGATCAACAATGTGTTTGAAATCTCTCAGGCATTTTTTTTGTTTTGTATTTTTTTTCCAATGAGCTCCTGTCCAGCTATGCCTCTCCATCTTGAACTTTTAAGGCAAAATCGAGATTGTAAATTATTCTCATTCAATTCCATCTTGTTCAGTTTGTCCTAATTCTATGTTCTGTGTTCTTGAATCCTCCCTCTATCATCTGCTTTGTGTCATCTACAAATCTACCTAATGGAGTTTTTGAGAGAATCAAATGAGATGATATCTCTAAAGCGCTCAGCTCAATGCCCAAATCTTATGTGAAAGTCTTTTTGCCTTTAGTTAAGTACACTGATAAAAAAGTTAAATTGCACAGACACTTTGGGCCCGCTAATGGATTTTCTTTGTAGAGGGCCATCAAGACATTGATCTTGGTGAAAATGGTTTCCTTTTCTTTACGTTTGCCCACCATGACTTTAAATAATAAATTGTAGAATTTTCCCAGGAATCAAAGTCAGAATCCCTTGGCTACAGTTTACTACAAACTACGGTTTGCAGGCTAGTCTCTTTCCTTTTTTTTTTTAATCAGGACATTTGCCCTTCTTCAATTTCTCCATATTTTCTTGCATTCTTCTACCCCTCTTTCACTCTTCATATTTTAAAGACCAATCACTGAGCCAAATTTGACTTAGCAATCCTGCCTTCTAGTTCATCCATCCATGCAGTGCAGTAACTAGAACACTGGACCTGGAGTCAGGAAAGACCTAAGTTCAAATTCAGCCTCTGACATTTATTACTTATGTCATCCTTGGCAAGTCACTTTATAGCTTTCTGTCTTAGTTTTCCCAACTGTAAAATGGGGACAATAATACCACCTATCTCATAGGGTTTTTGTGAGAATCAAATGAGATAATATCTGTAAAGTGCTCAGCACAGTGCCCAAAACATAATGAGTGCTTTTAATACGTTTGTTTCATCTCTGCGAGGACGTAGTTCATTTGAACTAAGGGATTTGTACCCATCTAGGTCAGTTAAGTGTCCTCTTACTTAGGTACCAATGTCATATTGTCATATTGGTTCTATCTCTAACAGGTCCAGAGATTACTCTCTTTGGCAGAAAAAAAATACAAAAGAACACTTATGCAGCGTTGTCTTCTCTGTCAACAGTTACCATCATCTCATTTTCTTCTGTGCCTCTGTTTTAGCTCTTTTTTTGATTCCCAGCTCCTTTCGCTCCCAATAACAATGACATCCTTTTTTTGTTGTTGTTCACTTTCAAAACCTCTCTCAGGTGAACTTAGGCATTACTCAACCTACTCTTACAGGGTGTGTCAAGCTTTTGCATTCATCATCTGTCAACTGTCTTTGCTTCCATCTTCTATATATTTCTTTCTTAAATCTAAGTTGATAAGTGAATTCCCTGCACATCCACATCAGTCAACAGCCCTTATTCTTAGACATAGAATGACAGGATTCATATAAGCAATCAGCCTGGCCCACCCTCTCCCTCTTTGGTAGCACTTTGGTAACTTCTATTCTACATTAAAGTTGTCAAATGATACTCAATGTGACATGATTTCATTTGTATGAAAAATGATGGGCTGAAGGGTGCAGAAGACGACTAGCTGTGTACTCCATATGACCCTAAAAATAGCCGTTGCTTTATCAGAGAAACAAAAAGATCATTCACCTTCAAACATATTCCTGTTAAAGTTTTCCAAAATAACAATTATAACCAGAAGCATTTCAGTAACAAATCTAAATGTTCAAGTTCAGGCCAATTTTTTAAATGGATCAAAGAGAAAATCATTAAGACGAAACACAAAAAAAAGAAGTTCTTCCTGCCAAATTGTGTTTTAAATTCTCTCTCCCTTTCTCTATGCTTCACATGCATTTATTCTGATTTGTGCTTGAACAACAACAAAGTGCTTAATGTATTCTCTCTCTCTCTCTCTCTCTCTTTCTCTCTCTCTCTCTCTCTCTCTCTCTCTCTCTTTATCTCTCTCATTTTCCTCTCTCAAACCAAGTAAATAGTGCTAAATATAAGAAAATTTGTGATGTGACTTTTTTTCTTGATTCAGATTAGGAAAATGATTTAATATGGTTATATATTGGCTAGTACACATTGCATTCTGAATTTACAGGTACAAGGAATGCTAATCTAGTCAATGGCTCATTCATCCATTTATTCTAAGTGGCAAATAGAATAAGTGCTTAAGCCACATCTTCTGTCTAATCCAGGTAAATAGCATATTCATTCATGAAGAGGTAGCAGCAATGCCTTTATGGATCCCCTATGCTCCTTCTAAATTAGACAGTGGACTTGCCTCGTCCTTTGCTTGTTGTAAACCAAAGTCAATAAAAAGAGATGAAAAATAGAAGCAAAGGATCAGAGAGTATGACCATAGTGGAAAATAAAGATGGTTACTCAAAAAGAGGGACATGGAAAAGGATGGCACACAGTAGACAGTCTTTAATAAGAAATACTATAAACAATGTGGCTGAAGACTGAATTTATATTCCATTTCTCAGTTATCAAGAAGGAAATTATCCATGATACATTTGTTATTCTATACTAGAAGATAAATGGCAGGCAAAATGGCATGGTATTCATGGCCTAGTCATAATGCTGTTGGATATACTTTTTCTTGGGTTTTAATACAACATTTTCCTTAAAGCTATTCTTACCTCATTTTGGAGATCTCGGATCATTTTGCTCTTTCTTTCCATTTCAGTCTTTAAAAAATTAATCTGTAAATGAATAGAATATTAATTATGTAGACACATTTCAAATTTGTTCCCAAATTTTCCCAACTTACCATTCGTGATTTCAATACATAATTAAGCAATTATCTCCACAGTTATCAATAAAATACTGAGAAAGTAAAAGGAATATAAATTTTTATTAACCAAAGAGATCATTAATATACCCATTACCCACCTCTACTTAATGTGAAAATGTTCTTTTTGTATTTAATGGGAGATCATAACTGTACTCAATTAAAAGACCATTTATGGTTGAATTAAAGATTTGTTGTAGGCAATTATGCCCCAGGACTCAACAGTTTGCTTTCCTATGGGAAGGTCTGGCATAGTTCAAAAAGTTCTAAGTGAAAAGTCAATGATGATGATGATGTTTGTGATAATGATGATACCTAGAATTTATATATAACAATACGATTGGCAAAGCACTTTACACATCATTTTATTTGATCTTCACAATAATCCTGTGAGGAAGGTGCAATCACTTTCTCCATTTTCAATAAAGAGAGGACTGAGGTTGACATAGTTTAAGTAACTGATCCAACAACATGGTCAATAAATATCGGAAGCAGAAATTGAATTCAAGTCTTCCTGAAGCTAGTCTAGTATTCCAACTACTGTGCTACCAAACTAGCTCAGATATCACTCGCTATGTGCTCCTAGCTAAGTTACTCAATCTATTTCTGTGTCTGTAAAAATATGGATTACCTCTTGCCCTATCAATGTTACAGCATTTTCATGAGGATCAAATGAGGTGATACATACAGCAGTGCATTGAAAAGAACAAAGAACTACAAAAAGTAAGATTTTTTTCTCTATACTAAAAAGAAAATACAGATATTTATCCCAAACTCTATTTGGGTTTATTTTTGGTTCTTTGCTGTTTCTTTATTCTTTCCTCTCATTTTTGATCAGTTGCTTATGAACCCCCTCAACATGAGAGTAAAGAGTCAAAAAGGAAAAAAGGTGAAACATGAAAATATAACTTGTCAGCAACTCTACTCTTACTCTTCAAAAGTAGTTTGGAAGTTCAAGCCAGAGTATCTCAACTAAGGAGGTATTATAAAATGTGATATGCAAAATGTTTCTCTTCAAACAATGCTGAAATTCTCACGTGGCAAAGGAATAATGTGAAGTAATTTAATATGTTGTTTACCAATATTGTGAGACACACAGAGAGCATCGCAGAGAGAACAGGGTCTATCAAAGTGCTAGTAACACACGACATTATTCAATAAAGAATCAGATCTATCATGGGTCAAATAATGCCATTTTATGCAATAATGAAAGCTAGATAGTACATAGAACCAAAGTCAGATAATCATAACCCCCTACATACCCACATATATGCCACCTAGACAATTATAAATTTCCCAATGACTTATTAATAACTTTGGAATAAAATAACATTAAAATTAAACCACTCCTTGACCTATGTTTATATTAAAGACAAAATTCAGTTCAATACAGTTTTAAAGAGCAATCATTTATTAAATGCCTACCTTGTATAAGAAACTATTTGCTGATCATGAGGATGCAAAGATAATACCAAAAAAGACCACAACCTCATGGAACTACTATTTCTCTGGTGCAATATAATTGATAAATAGATAAGGAAATATAGAGTTTGCACAAGTAATTTCAAAGGACATGGAGTGTAACTGGTGGGATCAAGAAAGGATTTGTGGTTAGGGTAGTCTCTGAGAAGCTGTGTTGTTCCTTTGTTTTTATTTGTTCTTTTATTTGTTTGTTTAGGTTTTTGTTGGTGGTGTTGTTTTTGAAATAAGGTGTTTTTTATGGTGAAAGTGAGGAAGGAATACATTCTAGACATGGAGTACCACCTTTATAGGAATGTGTATGTGTGAGATGTAATCTAATATTGGGAAATTCATTCAATAAGTGGCACAGCCTCAAAACAGTTCAATAAGCTAGTATCGGAGTATCTAAGACAATGAAAGCCCCAGCCATGCTCATACAGAAAAAAGTAAATTATTTTATCCAAATGCGCGAGACACTAATTACCAAGGCCAAAGTTATAATGATATTATGTACATGTTATCATACTCCTTGAAGAAGAATGGCTATGTCCACAAAGACTAAATTATTACAGTGGAAGAAAATTATGTCCAACATAGAAACTTTATCATTTACTTGTTTTGTCCCAGTCTAGTTAATCAAGTGAGCAAAAGTACATACCACAACCATTTAGTCATATTTAACAAAGAATATATGTGTGTGTATGTGTATGTGTGTATACACATATAATATGTGTTTATGTATGTATGTGTGTGTATATGCAGCTAGGTGGCACAGAATGCCAGGGATAGAGTCAGGAAATCCTGAGTTCAAATCTAGCCTCAGGCACTTACTATCTGTGTGACCCTGGGCAAATCACTTAACCCTGTTTACCTGCATTTCCTGATATGTAAAATGAGCTGGAAAAGGTAATGGCAGAGTACTCTAGCAGCTTTGCACAAAAACAAACAAATAAAACACAAATGGGGTCACCAAGAATTAAACACAACTGAAACAACTGAACAACATTATGTATATATATATATATAAAGATCTACAGATATATATGTATAATATATAGATAGATATATACACACACTTATATACATACACACACACATACACACACACACATATATACATATATATACACATATATATGTATGTATGTGTATATATATATATATACACACTTATGCACATGTGTGTGTATTCCATTCTTATTGCCATCCCAGGCTCATATTGTAAAAAAAAAAAATTAGTAACTTGTATGTATAACTGTCTGTAGGTGTGCATGTGTGCATGCCTGTGTGTGTGTTGCTCTATACTTGTGATTTCATCAATGTGCAAAACTCCTGATGTAGAAACTCCCTCCAGTGGGTGCAGTTTGCTGTTACATCTAGTCTTAGAAAGCTGACTGTAGCATAAAGGGATAAAGAGGAAGGAAGGAAGGAAGGAAGGAAGGAAGGAAGGAAGGAAGGAAGGAAGGAAGGAAGGAAGGAAGGAAGGAAGAGAGGGAGGAAGAGAGGGAGGAAGAGAGGGAGGGATGGAGGGAGGAAGGAAAATAACTTACCAAGTTCTTACTATGTGCCAAACACTGGGGATATGAAGAGAAAAGCCCAGAAGTTTCTGTTTCAAGGAGCTCTCATTCTAATTCTAAAGGAAGACAGCATTCATGGCAGATTTGAGCTACAAGATAGGAAGTTACTATGGGCCCCTTGGTCATAACTGTGAAAGATAAAACTTTCCAGTGTCATATAATTTTTCTAGGTGTGATTTTTAATATTTAACTATTTTATTTGCATTGGATTTGGGGGGGTTATAATATAAACTTACAAATAAATACCCTTCTTTTTTGTTTATTTATTCACATTTTAACATTTTAAATTTCCTATCAGCTTTTTGTTAAATAGAATATTCATTTGTCAGCACCATGTGTTCTCACACTTATTAAAAACAAGACTGCCATTAGTATTTATTTCAGAATCCTATTTATCCTGTATTCCACTGGTAGGTTTATCCAGTAGCATGTGTTTTTGATTTTCACTTTTTTGTAGTAGGATTTGAGATCTCATGGAACAAAGCCCTCACTCTCCCTATTTTTTCTTTGTTTCCATTATATCTTTCCTTGTTATATTATTGATAATTTATTCTCACAAAGGATTTTAATTTACCCATCTATAAAATATCCTTTTAGAAATTCAATATGATATAAATATATGAATAATATGATATGAAATTAAATCTGTTATTATTCAAGATCATGTTAGTTAAACCATTTCTGATTTTAGCACAATACAATTATGAAAACTGACCATCTTTTTAATTATTTAGTTCTTTTATTTCTTAAAAATATACAGCTTTGATCAAACTATTGGTTGTGTTCTTATAGTTCAATTTCTAGACATATGACACATTTTTGTTATATTTAGTAAATTTTCACTTCTTATTAGGTTGTTAATTATGTGGAGAAAGACAAATTTGTTTTGTTAATTTATTTCGTATCCATATACTTTACAGAAGTTATTGATTGTCTCAAAATATAACTATACCATCTACAAATAATGATGTGGCCTCCTCTTTGCCTACAAGTAATTATGCAATTTTTTTGGGGGGGGGAACCTGTTATATTAACTATTTCTATAACTACTGTGGTTCAGTCATTTCAGTCATGTCTGACTCTTTGTGATACCATTTGGGGTTTTCCTGGCAAAGATATGGTGTAGTTTTCCATTTCCTTCTCAAGCTAATTTTACAGATGAGAAAACTGAGACAGATAGGCTTAAGTGACTTGCCCAGGATCACACAGCTAGTAAGTCTCTGAGGCCAGATTCAAACTTAGGAAGATGAATCTTCCTGAATTCAGGTCAAGCACTCTAACAACTGCATCACCTAGCTACCCTTCTATCACCATAAAATTGTAATAATTGGGATAATGAATATCTTTGCTTTACCTCTGCTCTTACTCAGAAATCTTCTATTGTTTCTCCATTACAAATAATATAAGAATTTTTTGTAGATGTATACTTTCAATTATAGTTAGGAAAAGTCCCATTATTCCTGTTTTATGGGTTTTTTATTATATAAATACCACATTTTTTCTTTTAAATAATATTATATTTTTTCAATTACAGGTAAAGGCAATTTTAACATTTTTAAATAAATTTTTGAGTTCTAAATTTTCTTTTCCCTTCTTCCTCTCCTTCCCCCCTAAGATGATTAGCAATTTGATAAAGGTTATAGATTACAATCATGTAAAACATATTTCCATATTATCATGTTGTGAAAGAAGAAATAGAACAAAAGGGGAAAACTACAAAAAAATTAAGAAAGTGAAAATAGTATGCTTTGATCTGCATTCAGAATCCATCAGCTCTTTATCTGGATATGGGACACTATTTTCCACCATGAGTCTTTTGGAACTGTCCTGGATGATTATATTACCGAGAAAAGCTAAGTCAGTCATAGCTGAT